TCTATCTATCTATCTATCTATCTATCTATCTATCTAAGCCTGTTCCCATCTATCTATCTATCTATCTATCTATCTATCTATCTATCTATCTATCTATCTATCTCAGATTCCCTATGATTAATTTAATAAATACCTGGAGAGCTTACCACAAGGTATCGTCTTTGCTCTCATAGCCAATTCAATCCTCAACGTCGAAACATTTATATCCATGTCTCAGATTAAGCGTGCATATTAAACATCTAACAAGGGTTACCCTCAACGCTTAACAACCCCGACTCTCAAAACAATACGAATCTAAGCTTTTCAACCATTACTGGATGCTCCAGAGTGTTGGCCGTATGCCAGTCCCATCTTTAGCAATCACCTTTGCGTTTCTACATCAATTAGTGACATGGGCCTTAAAAAAAAAAAAACAGCGTAGCCTATAAAAAATGAACGTACCCGACTCGAGTCTGCAAACATTGCTCTGCATTTTTCGTTTAGTTTATGTGACGTGTTCCATCAGATGGCAGTTATGGCCCTCCACAATTTCCTCTCCCTTGTAGTTCTTTGTCTTTCTATTATATCTCCTTAGCCCTATTCTGCCACCCATTCAAGTTATGCATCGTTTTCCTCTGTCCCTCTTGCCTTAAATCTGTCCTTATGAGTATCACAATTTCCAGGCCCTCTTTCTTCAATGTGTCCTAGAATTTTCAACTGCCTCTTCCTGTCCTGTTTTGTGTCCATTTTCTCCAAAACTTCGTCGTTGCTTACATGTCCAGTGTAAGGCATCCTCAGCATCCTTCTGTAGAACTACATTTCTGTTGCTTCTAGTCTCTTCTTCATCTTTCAGGAGATTGTCTAGTCCTCACTGCCATACACAAGGACAGCTATCCCGTAGCAGTTTAGTCCCCTTTTCCTAGTTTCCAGAGAAATTTTTCTATTTCTCAGTACACTGCTTAGTTTTTGAAAGGCATCTTTCGCTGTCTCAACACGCCTTCGGGTTTCAGTGTCACACTTTCCGCCCTCTGATAAAACACTTCCCAGATTTTTAAATCCCTATACTTGTTTGATTTTGTTATCTCCGATTTGCAACGTGGCCGGACATTTGGTCGAACAGACATTTTGGCCGAACGGACATTTCACCGAAAAAGTACAAGTAAAAATAGTAACAAACAATACTTTGAGTATTTTAATTAGTAATATTATAAGGTAGAATAGGACTAATAATTACCATTGAATTTCAAGTGATTCAATTACTAAATCTAAATTCAAAATTAAGTTTTCTTATTTCAATATTTTTTTAATTGAAATTAGTATTTTTTTTAAATATTTAAGTATATTTGGGTAAAAAGTAGCACCTAATTATTTAAATTCGTATTTAACAGTAAGATAAAATCTAGTTCATCCCTTATAAGATAATGATCATTAAAAGCGAAATTGAAAAATCTTTCATATCGTAAAAGCTTAAGATTTTTGCTGTAGTAAAATGTGTTTTTTTTCTCAAAATACTTATCATCTTACAGTAATATTTGAAGGAAAATATAATACACACAGAATATATTAAAAAAAATATTAAAAAACCGAAAAATTATAAAAATTAACTATAAATATATGTAACACATAATCGATGGATCAAAGCTATTACTGAAAATCAGTTTCAAAATGTTTTCGAAGAACCACAGAATCGTATTAGCCTTTGTACGCGCCATGATGACGGACATGTTGAAAATGAATATTGCCAATAATAAATTTAAATATTTCTATTTTTCTTATTCATTATACAGATGGTTTCTATCGTGTATAGTTAGAAAGCTACAAATATTTTGAACGGCACACAGACTTTATGAACATGTATGTCACATTCTTTATAAAGAGTGTGACATACATGTAAGTACGCCACTACATTTTCGGCTAAATATCCATTCGGTTAAATGTCCGTCGACCAAATGTCCGAGTACCGATGTAATATGTTATACAGTGCAATAGTTTTAGTGTGATTTTAAATAAAGAATGTAAATTTAAAACATTTTTTCTTATAATTTGTGCCCAGCAGTATTATGGTGTTATATACATTTTTATTTTCTGTTTTTATTAATTATGACTTCACGGATGATCTAACAAATCTTATTCCTTGTGTATTCTTTTTTGTCACCTTTTACAATTTTTTTATACGTTTTTATCAAAAACAATTTCTAAAAAATGCATATTTTGCTTGTGGTGATTCATAATTAGAAATCTGGTTTGAATATATTTTTGCATTCAATGTATCCAATACAAAAAAAATTCAATTTTATTTGGAAGCAAAAACCTGCAGGATTTAGTCATTTCTGTACATTTTTCAGACAGTCTTTAAAAGGAAATTATCATAAATTCGTAAAAGCTATGAATATAATTTTTTGGCGTTAGTACTTATGGCATTAAACCCCAGCATTTACCCACAGTTCGATGTTGATTTTGTAAAGAATGTGAAGAATCAACATACCCTACTTGAACACAGAATTTATCTATATTATAATGTAATATGTTATAGAGGGCAGTAGTTTTCGTGTGATTTTAAATAAAGAATGTAAATATAAAACATTTTGTCTTATAATTTATGCCCAGCAGTTTTATGGTGTTATATACACTTTTATTTTCTGTTTTTATTAATTATGACTTAACGGATGATCTAACAAATCTTATTCCTTGTGTAGATTTTTCTCATCATGTTTGAATATATTTTTGCCTTCAATGTATCCGATACAAAAAAATTCAACTTTATTTGGAAGCAAAAACCTGCAGGATTTAGTTATTTCTGTACATATTTCAGACAGTCTTTAAAACGAAATTCTCAAAAATTGTAAAAGCAATGAATTTAATTTTTTGGTACCAGTACTTATGGCATTAAAACCTAGAATTTGCCCACAGTGTGATGTTTTCTAAAGAATGTGAAGAATCAACCTACCCTACATGACCACACCTCTGGCCTAGGCCTGTTGGTTCAGCTGAGGATGTGGAAAAATGACTAGTTTGTAATATTCAATACCTTTTTTTTAATCATTTCACACCATCCAAGACAAAAAGCCACTAAGAAGCAAAATATTTAAATTCCCACACTTGTTTGATTTTGTTATCTCCGATTAGCAAATGCACATTGGGCTCATCCTTTTGCCAACAACCAAACATTCTGTCATCTTGTCGTTGATGTTTAGTCTTTTCGTTTCGTTTTTCCTTCATTATCTTCTGTAGGAGTTTTTGTAGTTTTCTTACTGTGTCTGCTATCAACACTGTGTCATCTGTATATCTTATAATGTTAAGATTGTGGCCACCAATAACAAATCATGGTAGGACTTCTATAATATTAGGTTGGTGCAAAAATAATGACGTAAGAATGTCGTTTTTGACGTAGAAAAGTACGTCAAAAAACGACATTATTACGTCATTATTTTTGCACCAACCTAATATATACAGAATAGATTTTAAAAAAAGTCTGTAAAAAATGATAAATTAATACAGTAAATAAATATAAATATATGTAGCACATTACAATAAAGAATGTGACATGCATGTAAGTACGCCATTACATTTTCGGCTAAATGTCAATTCGGTTAAATGCCCGTCGGCCAAATGTCCGTGTACTGATGCAATATGTTATAGAGGGCAGTAGTTTTCGTGTGATTTTAAATAAAGAATGTAAATATAAAACATTTTGTCTTATAATTTATGCCCAGCAGTATTATGGTGTTATATACATTTTTATTTTCTGTTTTTATTAATTATGATCTAACGGATGATGACAAATCTAATTCCTTGTGTAGATTTTTTGTCACCTTTTACAATTTTTTACACGGTTTTTGTAATCATTTCACTCCAACCAAGGCAAAAAAAGCCACTAAGAAGCAAGATATTTAATTTCACACACTTGTTTGATTTTGGTATCTTCGATTGGCAAGTGCTCTTTGGGCTCATCCTTTTGCCAATAACCAAACATTCTACCATCTTGTAGCTGATCTTTTCATCTTGTTTCCCTTCACTATCTTTTGTAGGAGTTTTTGTAGCTTTCCTTCTGTGTCAGCTATCAACACTGTGTCATCAGCATATGTTATATTGTTAAGATTGTGGCCATCAATAACGAATCTTGGTAGTACTTCTATTTCCCTTAGAATCGTTTCGCTGTACAGGTTAAATAAGTCTGGTGAGAAGACACATCCTTGTCTTACACCCCGTTCTATTTTTTATATATCTACTGAACTCATTTTCTATCCTTATGCAGGCAGTTTATTGCCAGTTCTTGATTATTAGGTCCCCAACAAAAACAAGCAACCTTGGCCACAATTCGAACACGTACCGTCATTTCTCTTTTTGAAAAAAGGTGACACTATCTCACATCGTCGCATTCATGAACACATATGCATATTAACACCTAAGCGTGTACACAAGATGGCGAATGGGAGGAGAAGGTATTGGTTTGTGTTCGCTGGCTTAAAATGAGAGGAGCAGACGGTAATATTCACACTGTCTTCACCCGGGCTTCTGCAAGAACGGTCAGGGTTATTGCGGAAATCAATCGGCGTGAAGTTTGTAAATAGAACGATTGGCCCGTCCGAATTATGGATTTTAAAATGCAATGAACGAAGAAAAAAAGGATCAGTTAAGTAGAGTGGAGTTTTAAGCATCTCAATAACTGCAATGGCGGCCGTTATTCGTTTTGCATATTGATATGCTGTCTGCGAGTTCCGAGTAGAATTTTGAATTGGATTGGAGAGAAAGAAGAGGCGCTAACATGAATGGGGGTAATGCTTAAGTGTGCATTTGGGTGTGGGTAGGTCGGAATGAGACAGTGTGTTTGTACGTGTGTAGTTCGGCGAATACGTGAGAGTTGATACCTGTGAATACGCCAATGTGACGATGTCTATTTGTGTGGCGGTAAGATGTGAGTCACAGATACACGCAAACATACATACACATAAATGCGCATACACTCTTTCTCGCTCCCTTTCTCTCTCTCTCTTTCTCATTTTCTCGTTACATTTTTCTTAATGCACTCTCTCTCTCTCTTTCTACTCTATCTCTTTCTACCTGTATCCGTATCTCTTCTCTCTGTTTCCAGATATACGCATTCTATTTCTAACACCACCTCTGGGTGTCTTTATCCTTATCGTTTTTTCCTTTCTCTCTGTATGTGACTCCTTCCACACACACACACACACACACACACGCATTCACCTTCTCTCACTTGTACCTCTCTTTCTTACTTTCCAGATCTCTATTCCTCTCTCTCTCTCTCTCTGTCTCTCCTCTTATCGCTTAAACCTTCTCTCTATTCTCACCTATTCTCTCGGTGCTCCCTCTCTCTGTCTACATATACTGACAATCACGTCCTTTTCCTTTCTCTCTCACTCGCTATCCGTTTTTCGTTCTCACCCTCTTTCTCTCTTCCCACTTCCTTCTATTTCTGCCTCTATTCTCTCAGTGCCTCTCTCTCTCTCTCTCTCTGTATACACTCACAATTTTCACCCTCTTTCTCTCTATCTAACCCCCTTCTATTTCTTCCCCTGTTCACATCTTTTCTATCGATGCCTCTCTCTCTGCATACACTCAAACCCTTTCTCTCTCTCTTCTTCTCTCACTCTCTATCTGCCCCCGCCTCTATATCTTTTTTCTTTTCATTCTCACCCTCTTTCTCTCTATCTACCCCCCTTCTATTTCTTCCCCTGTTCTCATCTTTTCTATCGATGCCCCTCTCTCTCTGAATACACTCATAATCACAACCTTTCTACATCTCTATATATCCATCACTCTCTTTAGCTTCACAAGTTTAACTTGTGGCTACACATTTTCCACCTGTACCGTTTCTCGGTGTTCTTGCCCACTCAAAACAATTCAACGTAAATGCTGATTTACAAAGATGCCATGCAAACCGATCAGAATTGACAAGATTGAAGGTTCATGGTCAAACAACTGTACATTTGCTTCCACTTATCTCTATGGCAAACAAACATTAGTAAATATATCCCTATATAAGACACAAACAAACAAATATATATATATATATATATATATATATATATATATATATATATATATACACCTAGTGAGCCAGACAAAAGCTACCTAGGTTTCACCTAAACGGATCGTCAGGGAAAATAAGCCTTTTCTTTCCTGACGATCCGTTTAAATGAAACCTAAACTTTGTCTGTTCCTAGGTGTATCTAGGTCTGATCTACGGTTGTATTGAGCGCTTTTGTTAGTTAGTTGTTTACTCGTATCGGGTTTTTTCTTCTTTGGGCTTCAGACCTACATCTGTACGATTTTTTTTGTCGGTAGAAGTTCATGTTTGTAGCTCTAGTTATCTATAATTATATATATATATATATATATATATATATATATATATGTATGTATAAATGGGCATTGAAGGCAACACACAGAACCCTGAGTTTCACGCCATTGCGATCATCAGACAACCCAGGGTCACAAACTCATATTCATACAACTTATTATTGTGTTGGCTCTATCACCGATATTGAACACCTTCCACTAAGTACCGCGCATACATATTATATAAATAATATACATATCAAAATTACATTGAGAAAATGTCCAACTAATGCAAAATCAGTCTGGATTTCATCCTAGCTTGAAGTAATCGGATGTCTAGTCACACTGATGAGCTGTGATACAGCGAAATAGTCTGTCTGTGGATGACAATATATATATATATATATATATATATATATATATATATCGAAATGTAAAAGAACGAAGAGTAACATTTCAGCGTTCAGAACATGAATTTAAATCAGATCTCAGTACAAAAGTATAGCCGTAAATATTTATTTATTATGTAACACTGCATAATATATATCGCTCAACTCGACTCTTCCGTCGTATCCGACGTACGAGGGTCAAGCAGATCAGTTCCCAGGAAACCGACAGCCCGAGAACAGCACATGAGATTCGATTATAGTGGTGAAGGTTTCGTGCAGGACCATCCATACTTTTTGAAGGGCCGAATACAGAGACCTGGTGCACTAAGTGCCACAAGGTCCCCAAACGACCCTCCGTAGGTTTTGAATTCCGAGTTGTTGCCATCCAAGGCTATAGAACCCAGTCTCTCTCTCTCTCTCTCTATATATATATATATATATATATATATATATATATATATATATCTGAAAATATAAGTAATGAAATGTTTGGTAATCCGTATGGATAAAACACAAGGAGGATATAATCCAGAGAGCTCAATGTCAAATCAAAGCAATTATATATATATATATATATATATATATATATATATATATATATATATATATATATCGAATCTCAGGATCGTCGAAACCTTTTGATGTTATCAGGCTAGAGGGATGTTTCCAGCGTGCGGCATGATTGGACAGTGCCTGAAAACCATACCACGGGTTAACCCAGGCCTTGTGACTGAAGTTGGGTAGACGGTGCAATTGGTGTCGTTGATAGCTGTACTAGCACGAAGTCACAAGTCATCGTGACCGAGGGTTTGAGCGTGCTGACCTTGATCACATTTATGATCACGCTAGAAACAACAGGTGGGCCCTGTGAGTGTTGAACATAATGTGCCTGGGCTAGAGTCTGCAACAGAGATTGGCTAACCGCCCTACTAGACGAGTACCAACGAATACAGTGTCCAGCTATATATATATATATATATATATATATATATATATATAATATATATATATATATATATATATATATATATATATATATTTGGTTGGATAGATGTGAGTTTGTGACCCTGGGTTTCACGCTTTAGCGATCGTCAGACAAACTGATTAATGTTTTAAAAAATTTGGGTTTATGTAGATTGCGTGTATTGGTGTTATTGTGAAAGTGGTGGGAGAAATTTCGTCGTTTTGTCATTCATCGTACTAACGCAAACATCGATGTATGCAGACACATATACATACTTGGTCGTCCGTTGGGACTCATACATATATAAACATATGTGGGCAGTTTCGGCTATGACACATGTATGTATACGGGTGGTGTTATATCTATACATACGCATTTGTATGTTGAAATTTAAACATTGGAAGTGTGGCGGAAATGTCTCGTTACTGTATACATGTCATATTATGTATTTTCCCGCTGAAAAATATTTCCTCGCATGTATGTATATGCGTGTGGTGGGGTTTGTGTAAAATTATGATAGGTAAAAATTATTATTATTTATATTTATTTTTAAATTTTTGAAAAATAATGGCGGGTTATTTGTTATATTTAAAGCTGGTTATTTGTTTGTTTTTGGTGACTGTGTATATGTAACAGGTAGAAATTTGTAATCCTTATTGGTTAATTTGTATGGTGATGTTTAGTTTAATATTCAATGTGCTGGTTGAGAGGGTAGTTCAATTTAATAACGGGTCTATATGATATCATGTGATAGTAATGTTTCAAGGGATTGGAGACAATGATAGTTAGCTAATAGTTATTGTAAATTGGTAGAAATTGTAAATTGGTAGAAATGATTAGTAACGGTGGTGGGAGAATGATAAAACCATGAATGTAGTTATAGTGGTGGTAGCTTGAACTAAAAAGTGGTTGTTGGTGTTTTATTTTATTTTTGCTTTATTTTGTTATATGTATTAATTTATTTTGGTATAAATCCTGATAATAGGTATTCTGTGTAAAATTATGATAGTTGGAGATTGCTATAATTTTTAATTTTTAAATAGAAAATTATTATTGTTATTATATTAAAGCTGCCTGGTAACTCACATCTATCCAACCAAATATGTTAGCTCTATCTCTGATATTGAGCGCTTTCTAATAAGTACCGCGCATATAATATATAAATAATTATACATACTTATATTTATTTATATTTTTTCATACACTTTTCACACACACACACACACACACACACACACACACACACACACACACACACACACACATATATATATATATATGGGTAGTAATCCTTTGGTATAATCCAGGTGAGTCCTATGAACAGAACATATGTTAAAACTGACACACAGAAAACGCTCAATGTTTATTTTCATTAAACAGAGCAAATTTTCTTTACAATTGGAATTAAGATAACTTTAGTAAATGACCTTTTTCACCTGCGAATTTAAATTTTAAAATTCGCAGGATTTTTCAAATTGTTTGATTTTTTAAACAGTTTGAAATATCCTGCGATTTTTAAAATTAAAATCGTGGGTCAAAATGGTCATTTACTAAAGGTATCTTAATTCCAATTGTAAAGAATATATATATATATATATATATATTTATTAAAGACATTTTTTATGCTTAACGTTAAAAAAAATGTCTTTAATAAATAAATTGTCGGACTTTGTCCATATATGGGAGAAAATGTATGACAAAGCGGGAAAATGTTTTCCTGTGACGTGTTTCGTACTTTAGTGCGACTACATATGCGCATGAACGACGAATGCTGGGAATTTTTAGTCGATTTTATTTAGATTCTTTTTCTTTTCATCACTTTTATTATTATTTATTCCACACTGCGATAATAGAAGATCTGCCAGGAATGGTGAAATGTTCTAAGACCCAGGACGTTCATTTAATGTAGGTGATCTTTCAATCAAGACACTCTCTATACATTTTTGTCTTGGGGAATTGTTTCCTCCTTTGATCACAGTAACATTTTTTTTATGTCAAAATTGTTGTCAGTCTAGTTACATTAAGCAACTAATGTATTGCGTGTATTATTTTGTAAACTGTCCCTTCTGTGTTTATATAATCTTTTATTTAGATTATTTGACGTTTATCCTATGTATTTTTTGTGACAAAACATTTTTCTACTTTGTCATACATTCCCCCCTCACCAATATTGTTCTTGATATATAAAAATTTATATATCGTTATCGCATATATATATATATATATATATATATATATATATATATATATGTGTGTGTTTTGTGTGTGTGTGTGTAAAAAAGACAATAGGAAAACTGTAATAGTTCTTTTTTCGCCCCTTAATAATGTCTTACTTTTTTCTTTTTTTTTTCAGATTCTTTCACACTCAGTAACGACATTTTGCGTCTTATTGGCTTTATTGCCTTGCTTGGAGCAAAATAATTAAATATACACAGACGCTCTGTGTGTGTGTGTGTGTGTGTGTGTGTGTGTGTGTGTGTGTGTGTGTGTGTGTGTGTAAAAAGACAATAGGAAAACTGTAATAGTTGCCGACGCGTTTTGTCCGACATGGACTTTTTAAAGCAGGCATTTATAAAATATCTTGCCAAAATTGTTCCTCCCAATATATTGGAGAAAGAAGCAGAAATTTAAAAAAAATCAACCACAATTTTGATTTTAAAAATGCTACATTCATAATAAAAGAAAATAACTCACTCAGAAGGAAAATCCTCGAGAGTGCTGCCATTGAATATTATCCAAATATTAATCTACGCCCAGGTTTTTTCCCTATTTCACCTTTCTTAACAAAATTACTGTGTGTTTGTTTGTGTGTATGTGTGTTTGTTTGTGTGTGTGTGTTTAATGTTGAGATTCTTCCACATCCATCATTCAGGCCCGATGCTGCTCTGAGTGACTATGGCCTATTCTGCTCAATTGCACACTTACTCCGTGACCAACGATTCAACAATTTGATGAAGTGAATGGAAGTCATTTACCGTTTTTGATGCTAAGCCATCGTATCTGTGACAAAGATGGATTTTGGCTGATCGCTAGCAGAAGACTGTCGAGAATAATGGACTTTATTTTGAAGAATAAATGT